AGTTTTTTTATCAAAATTTACATATAAAATTAGGTGAGTCATTTTATTTGATTTATAAGTAATTAAGTTTTGAACCCCTATAAGGGGACATGTCCCATGACTGATATAGTCTTAATAATATATTTTATTTATTATATGTATAAAAAAAAATACAAATAAAACGAATAAGAAAAAAAGATCAATTTGCTTTTTTTTTTTTCTTTTTTTTTTTTTTTTAGTTTTCGCTTTTCTCTTTCTCCTCTGATTCTAACAAACTTTTTAAAAAATTTGTGGAGCTTGCAAGAGTCTTTACAATTTTATTTTCATCAGGATCCTGATAGTCATTTTTATTGGAATCCTAGTAGTTGGATTCTTCTATATGAAAAACAAAATTAATAATTTAAATTATATATTAGTTAATGCATTTTAATTAATTACCTAATGATAATTTGGATTCTGCCTGACTAATTATAGTTTCACTTTCTAATATTAGGGAAGGATTTTTATAGAGCATTGTATTTTCTACTACCAGAAAATCTAATACCAGAAAATATATACAGTATAATTAATAATAATTTGTAAATATAACTATAATTTAATATACTAATATAAAGATTAGCCAATACATACCAATTTCCATCTTTCTATTTTTTTCATCAACAACCTCTTTTGCCTTTCTTTTTTCAACAACAATCTCCTTCCTCTTACCTTTTTTATTAACAACCTTTTTCACCTTGCCTTTTTCATCAACAACTTCTTTTACCTTGCTTTTTTCATCAACAATCTCTTTTGTCTTGTCTTTTTCATCAACAACCTCTTTCGCCTTGCCTTTTTTATCAACAACCTCCTTTGCCTTGCCTTTTTTATCAATAACCTCTTTTGCCTTGCCTTTCGATTTTGAATGTGTAATATATATATAGTAAGTATTGCTAGGTCTAGCTTATACATGCCGATGAAATTATTTCGGGGTCTAAAACCCGAAATTAAAATTTGAAGACGAAATTGTTTTTGACCTATTTTACTTAAAAGATGAAATTTTTTAA